GCTGCTGCTGCTGCTGCTGCAAAGCCACTGCAACTTCAAGGACTTCCGCAACTCCTGCGTCTAAGGTGCTGCTCGCGTGACTGGGACCCTTGAGCTAATTTCAACGGGCAACTACATGTGTTACATGTATTGGATCTTTACCACGGCATGGGTCAACAGAAGCGACGACTTGTTCAGGATCTGAGCATCTCCAGGCCGATAAGACGATCGTATGTTTCGCATACAAGCGATTAGTGACGAAAACGGCCATTGGGTTTAGCAGCACACCATGTCGTGCACGGCATCCCGGGTAAGCTCCAAACTGAAAGCCAAGCAGACCTGCTCCANNATCAGCTCCTACAATCAGCCAGCCAAGGTGGTAAATGCACGTGTTCGCACATAAGGGGGAGACTCCACCAATGATCGTGCCAACGATCCCAAGCAGACCCGATCCCGAACGAGTCCACCGACTATCCGCGGGGGGGGGGGGGGGGGGGAATGGCATATGGTTGGCTTCCGGGTCAAGAGGTTTAGGATTCAGGGTGTCTTGTGTGGAACCGTTGGGGGTTCAGGCCAGCTTGAGGGGTCGGGGACCCAGAATCAGAATGCACAACGCACCGCATGTATGTATGTATGTATGTATGTATGTATGTATGTATGTATGTGTGTGTATGTATGTATGTATGTACGTATGTATGCATGTCTCTTTGTGTGTGCATCTCTCTGTCGCTCACTCTCTTTTCCCTTGAACAGCCTTTTCTCCAACCAACCAACCAATCAATCGACCAGTCTATGTATCTGTTCATCGCCCTTCCGAGTTTGGCCCATGCGTGTTTCGTACGTGCATTGTGTATGAGAGGCCGGTGCTGGTGTTATATACAGGATGTAGCGAACGCAGAAGCTGCTGTCCTCGTACTGCGTGTGGTGGATGCAAACCTCAGGCAGCATGGCACGACCCGCAAGTCCAGAATTCAGCCTGGACCCTCAGCGAGACAGCCTATGCTAAGTCTGAGCGCGAAGTTGGCAACAACAACGCAAGCAAATACGGACGGCTGAGTCCGGGTCGCGCTCGATTGTCGCAAAGTGCTTCTCTACCACACCCAGGACAGGGTGATGGTCCACCGGCGGCAGGCTAGCATCCTGAGACAAGATGTTTTCCAAATTTGGCCTCTGTCCAACTACACTGTACCTGCACAAACTTTAATACCCTGAGCCACCTGTGGTTCACAATACTCCGCATGTGGACCGAGCAGTCGACGGACAACCTGTAAGCCATCGTAAGAAAAAAAAGTGAGTGACAATTCCAGCCACAACAAAAGCCACGAAGCCTTCCGGGCTGAACTTGTTCCTGAAATCGTGATTTGCTGGAAAGTGTGCTCACTGACGTGCCTGTCGTACTAGTTTCATGTCGTTCCCGACCCACGAAGAGCATACGTGCAAACTGATGTGCGTGTTTGTCTTTGCAGCTCTCATGAGCCCGAGAGCTTGCCACGGCATCACTCCAGCGACGCAGGCAGACTTTGGTTGCTGTAAACGTATCTTCGTGCTAAGTAACCACTGTTGCGAGCCTCTGCCCGCAAGTATGAGGCCGCCATCGTTAGGGGCTTTTGGGCTCTTGAGTGCTGGGCATACAGTTGGGGAATGTTGAGGGCTTTGTAGGTCAAAGAATACCTCAAGGCAAGGCTGAACATCGCCTGGCACCCAATTTCAGGCTGATCTTCGGCCAGAGAGTTCTTGTGTGTAACAAAACATCGGCCACGATAGGTTGCGACGACAATGACTGAGGTTTCAGCTCGAGGTGGCATGTTGTAGACGCTGGACACCTGAAACGCTGTGTTGGCTGTCGGTTCAGGTGAATGTCTCATCCTGCATCCCAGCAGAACAAGCAGTTGGATGATCAAAGGCGTCAGCTCGCAATGATCTATAAACGAGGGCACACAGCATCATTGGCAGATCCGCAGCTGTACGATCTCCTTTTCGGGCATGGCACAGATGCAACGTAGAGCTTCAACTCGACTGGAGCTTTGCCATCGCGCGTGGTCTTGACCTGGCCAAGAAGCTTCACTTCACTAATTTGGTTCTGATTGTCAGGAAGGTGGGACTAACATACGGAAAGGCATCAAGTAGCGAGAATGCCTACTGTGCTTGCGCGGTATCATGTCACAGCCTCATACGACGAATTCAGGTCCACACGCTTACGCTGCCGTCGATATGTTCTTGACACATCTTCCCGTGCAGGTATGTGTCCTGGCCCCATGATCAGGAAAACTGTAACTGTAAATCTTGGGTACCTCGTCTTCTCAGAAATGTGCATGCTCTGCTGCTGCTAGTAGATAGCACGTGTCGTCTTTCTAGTACTCTCCGAGACTGCAACACGATCCCGTTTTGGAGGTCTTCGGATGTTTCGGGAAAGCAGGAATTAAAAAACCCAGCAGAGCGGAAAAAAACGGAAAGCCAACACACATGCACAAACGCGCATACACATGCACGCACACGCACGCGCACACGCACGCGCACGCGCACGCGCACGCGCACCCACCCAACTACACACACACACAAACACACACACACACACACACAAACACACACACACACACCCACGCACGCACGCACGCACGCACGCACGCACGCACGCACGCACATATACACACACACACACACACGCACACAGACAGAGGCACACGCACACGCACCCGCATCCGCACCTGCGCGTATACCCACACACACACACAAACACACAAACACACAAACAAACAAACAAACAAACAAACAAACACACACACACACGGACACCCCCCGCGCGCGCGCGCGTGCACGAGAAGCTAATGAGTCAGCTCACCTGAAATTCAGGCTGTTCGCAGTCCGTGCAGTATAGCAAATGCTGGGATAACTTCCATCCTTTCCCTTCGAAACTTCAATCCCCACTCTATCAAGCTATCAGGCCAAAGCTGGGATCATAGACGACTGCGACACACAGGCCAGGGAGACCGCACGGCTGCCCAGCCTGAGCTATATCGCTGTGGCTATATATATATATATATATAGTCACCGGTAGTCTTAAACACTGCAGTGCGAATTGAGGAGCAGTTTAGCCGCACTTACGACAACAAAGCTAAGGCGGCAAGGCGTCAGTGGTTGGAATTTTCCAAAAAGACACAGGATGGTCGAGAAGCTAGAAACAGCAAGTGTCAAGGACGCAACATCTTGGCAACCGTGGCTATACCTGGCACCAATGCAGTTGTCGTTGTCCCCAATGGAATTCCAACATGGATCTCGAGCACGAGGATAGTTAGAAGGTAAACTGGAGTGTCCGCTCTTTCCAGCTTCACCACAATCTTGACCTGTTTCGGACTTATCTGTTGAGTGGCCCGCTTTGGTTGTAAACCAAGCCCCGACAGTATACGTAGCTGGCGAGCAGGACCTGAGTGATATGACACTGTGTCAGCAAACCATCGGCCATGTAATCAGTCACCAACTGCCAGGAAGTAGCGGCTCCGCTGGCAGCGCAGTAAGTATTGGCTGGATGGGCCTCGATGCAGCTTCATGATAATAGCACACAGAAGTGATGTCCGGAGCTCGAATGTGCAGTACTACTGCTGCAACTAGATCGAGTCAAAGCCACTTTCCTTAGTCATGCTTTGGGCATAAGGCTCGCACCCTTCCATGCGGGAGACGAACATACTGAGTGCATGCTCCAGGTCGTTCCAGTCCTTCACATTGGCATGCAAGGTTAAATAACACACGCAAAACGCGACAATCCAGAAGCCGTAAGGGACGAAGGGTTGATCGGTCTGTCATTCAGAGTGCCCCTTTGCATGCCACAGTCATGAGAGGTGAGATGTCACGGCTAGTACCATGGGATCGTCAGAGGGCCCGGCATTCAGCACCGAAAGCACTTGGCCGATGCCGAACACCAGCTGCGCACGGCAGTCGACGTTCAAGCGGCTGTCAGCGACCTCCGTGCAGGCAGCGTGTGTTCCGAAACACCTCTGTCTGGCAATGGAGGCCCCGTGAGGCACGCTGGATCTGGGCAGACTCTTTTACGAATCTGCAACCATGAACCGACGGGAAACAACAGGAACACCGAGCGCCGGAACCAAGTTGATCACCGCCGTGACGGCTTCTTGCCACAATGTTCCGCCCTCCAAAGCCACGATGGTCTTGCGTGCGGCAGTCATGACCTTGTCAGTGCGTGCGCAGAACTTGTTGATGCTGTTAGTTGGGTTCCCAGTCTAACCAGATACCAGAAGGAATGAAGGCAGCAACAACTAAGAATCGTTCTAGCCGCCTAGCCTCCTGGTGACTCCCGGCTATAGACAGTCTCAGCAAATACAGATACATGCATGGTTCATGCGTTCATGTCGCACATGTTGGATGCCCACACAGGGCGTAGCCAACATGAACACTAATAGCAAGTGGCGCCACGGACTGGAAGAATCCAGCGAGTGAACGTGAACATTCAGGCCGACACCATCTTCATGGCATCGCAAGCCAAAGCCTTCCAAGAATGAAGTCAGTGTGCAGTGAGCAGCTGTACAGGACTTTTACGAAGTCTCAGTTAGTGGTCGTGCAGAAAGCTGACTTTACGATTTGTCGCAATCCTAGGAACGGTCATCCTGTGGTCTCTCTGATCTCTGGTCCCGGATGGGTTGCAGTAAACTCCAATATAGACCAGTGTTCAAACTGAAACCGACCCGGCACCAGAGATCAGAGATGCTCCGAAAACTATTCCATTGCATCTTTGATCTCTGATCTCTGGTCCCGGGCAGCTTAAGTATAATTCAATATAATTCGGTATCTATATACTGATGATGTGTATATACTTATATACAGTGCGAATATGTACGATATTTTGCTATGACCTACGTTGCTAGACATTAGTCTCCTTGTGCCAATCACACGACAGAGTGGGGGGGGGGGTACCAGACATGAGAACATGTAATGGATGTATGCATACAGTATCCTTTAGGCGTGTACCTATTTAGTATGTAGCTACAATTCCAACATCTTCCCAAACACCAAGAGCTTTAGCACCAGAGTATAAACCAAACGAGCGTGATAATGGGTCTATATCAGATGCACATTCTTTATGTAACGAGACACACCAGCAAGTGTGACATGACGATACAACGATATCATCACATTCCATTTGACATACACTTCGGTTGTAATATAATATTTTCAGATTCATGCACCATGTAGCAAAGATGCAATATGTCGTCTATTTGTAATTACACTGCAATCCAAAATGACGGTCATCAATCACGGCTTCATTAAATAAGTCCATCAGTATTTTTCATTCTTTCCCATAATATCTATGCGCTGCATTTGGGAGTATACTGCAATTACTCTCATTTTTCGACGACGAATCCCCCAGCAAGGAAACAACAAATAGCACAGTGACATAGTAGTTTCGAACATCAACCAGACTTCGAAGAACAGGTGTTAGCTACATATGTCTTAACCTGGTAGCCAAATGCCACTATGTGAAACATGCGTTATTACCCCGCATGCTTCTCAGAAAACACGAACACTAGAAGACTTAGATAGCCGACGAATATTCGAACACATAAGCTAAATACCAAACGGACCTTTAAGTGGTACATAAATGTTTTTTTCACAACGTCTACTTGTGCGTGGTATGTAGAAATGCCATCGAATATTCACTTGCCAACTACATGAGATGGTAATTTGCTTGATGTTGCCACGTGGATTCGCACGTCCTTTCAACTGGGGCCTGATTGACAGTTTGGGCAGTGCATAAGAGGATGACCTTTTCAACATGATACCGGATCTCGTGCACTAGTGATGAGGGCTATCATAAAAATGGATACTGGAATTGCTTTAATGCTGCTTTGTGATGACGCTCTGTTGCATATGGCTTAGATAAAACTTCGCATGAAGTCAATAATGTTTGGAGGTAGTGCTATAGGTTCATATGTTGGTCGTGATACGAACAGTGGTGACGCATATGGCATACATAAGGGTCCTGTAATGTGGTGGGAATCAACATCAACATCGATGGCTTAGTGCACTTGCAGAAGCATCCTTGTGCTTGAATGATAGTACAAGGTTTATAGGCAATACTTAGCATGCTTATTCGTGTTTGGATGGTGTGGCTTCTGCGCAATTTATTCGGGAAATAACGCCGACCATCCAGATTGCCATGAGCAGTTCCATTAGGGAAATAACGGTGATGATACAGACTGTGAAGAGGCAGTGATGCATTGTGACGACGCCTGCAGTAGGGAAACATTGTATGACTACTGGTACAACGGGTATAGGCAATACTTATTAGCATGATTGTTTGTGTTTGGCATTTGTGCTGAAGGGTTACAGCCAACTCATAGTGAGACTGGTAGTACAAAGGGTATGACGACACATAGCATGATTATTTGTGTTCTGAGGGGTTGTAGGCAATGTCTGGTAATTTCGACTAGTAGTAAACGGGGCTATAGACAATACTTAGCATGATTGTTTGAATTCTAAGTCGACGGGGTTCTTTGTGTTCGGATAGGTATTTGCATAGTAAAAGCTAAACCAGAGATTCTTACGCGGAGTCCTGGTGAGGCCAAAGGAAGAAGCTTCGAGGTAGGTTTCGAAAGGGGTGGGGGGAGGGTAAGCATGTTTGTGCACATGTATATAGTAATAGTAATACATATATATATATATATATGAGACCTGTGTGTGTCTATAGGTCTTTCTACATGTACGGAATTCAAACTTGTATGCGTACAGCCATGCAGTCATACACATACATACACATAAACGTGCACATTCGCACGCGCACATACATGTATACACACAAGCACATGCAATACATATTCACACACTCGTACATGCATACTTATTATGTCAATTATTATGTACATACAAAACATGGATGCGTACACAAACGTACAAAAAGAACAGACAGACAGACAAACAGGACAGGACAGGACAGACATGTATACAGAGAGACGGAGAGACAGACAAACAGACAGACACACAC